TGGAACAAAAAGAAAAAACCGTTATTTTTAAAATATTTTTTTAATTTGAAAATTTGATAATCTTTTAAGTTAAAATCCATGAATTTATATACCCAATATTATATTTGAAAACAATTCGAATAGGCCTAGTAGGATTCGAACCTACGACAAAACCGTTATGAGCAGTACGTTCTACCAACTGAACTATAGGCCTTAAAATTAATAAACAATTTATTAAGAACGTTTTTCTATGAGAATTAGTATAGGGCAAATTGTAATAGTAGTTTTAATAATCTTTCTTTTGTTTGGCGATATTCAAAAGCTAAAAACTACATTAAGAAAATTGATAAGTAAATTTAATAAATTTTTAAAATAAAAATACAGGAAAAGAGGGATTTGAACCCCCGCCCTTCGGTTTTGGAGACCGCTGCTCTGCCGACTGAGCTATTTTCCTTTCAAATTAAAAATGATTTTTTATTATAAATATTATGTTGAAATCAAAAATAGATGTTTTTTACTTTTAACTTGTTGGTTTTCTACTTTGCTGATTTGCTATTTCTACAAAGAAGCAATATTGTTTGTAGTAATAAATTCAAGTAATTATGCAGAGCAATATTTCATTTTTACTGATATTAGCGAGATCTTTTATGTCTACCTGCAATTAACATTTTTTGTTTCAAACCAAATTACCTTATTAATGTTACTTTATCATACTCTTGTATTTTTATCATCAGGTTTATACAAGTCTGAATATAAAAAGTTGCAATTTGCTTTTCAAATTTATATTTTTTCTTGGGTAAGCTCCATTATTTTGCTGAACAAAATAATTATACCTGTAAGTTGGGAGTTTTTCTTAAGTTTTCAAAAAACAGAAAGTATTGCATTCTTTTTCGAAGCAAAAATTATAGAGTATTTGAATTACTTTACTAATTTATACTACATTTGCTTTTTAAATTGCCAACTTTTGGCAGTCATAACTTTATTATTAAACAATTATAGCAAAAATATGAACAGAATTAGGAGATTTAGAAAACTTTTTTATGTAATATTTGTAATTTTTTCAACGCTCACAACCCCACCAGATATTATTAGTCAAGTCTTAATGAGTGCTAGCTTAATCACTTTTTATGAAATTTTACTTTTTTTAAATATTTTAAAGATTAGTAAGGTAACCAATTGAAACTCACAAGAATTCCAATAGTTAACATTAAATAACCAATCGCAAATGGTAAGAAACATTTCCAACCTAAATACATTAATTGATCGTATCGATACCGTGGCAATGTTGCTCGAGTTAAAATAAAAAAGACTACTCCCAAAGCTACTTTAAGTGAGAACCACAAACTTCCTGGAATTAAAGATAATGGAAGAATGTCTATGATAGGTAACCAACCTCCTAAAAATAGGATTGCCGATAAAGAACTCATCAATAACATATTCGAATATTCACTTAAAAAGAATAAGGCGAAAGTCATCGCAGAATATTCTACGTTATAACCAGAAACTAGTTCAGCTTCTGCTTCAGGTAAGTCAAAAGGGTGCCGATTTGTTTCTGCTAACATCGAAATGTAAAACATTACAAACAATGGAAACAAAGGTACGATCAGCCAAACTTCTTGTTGGGCAAGAATAATACGACTTAAATTTAACGAGCCTACGCAAACTGCTATGCTTAGAATGATAAAACCAATTGAAATTTCGTAAGAAATCATTTGAGCCGCTGATCGTAGAGCCCCTAAAAATGCATATTTTGAGTTACTAGACCAACCTGCTAAAATGATACCATAAACATTTAGAGATGAAAGTGCAAACAAATATAAAATACCCAAATTAATATCAGCAAAAACAACTTTGTGAGTGAAAGGAATCACAGCCCACGACACAACACTCAGCAAAAACGAAAGAATTGGAGCTAATAGAAAAACACCAATATTCGAATTACTGGGTAAAGTGGTTTCTTTAACGAATAACTTCAAACCATCAGCTAAAGCTTGTAATAAACCAATGAAACCAATCACGTTAGGTCCTCGTCGCCTTTGAATTGCTCCCATTATTTTACGCTCAGCTACTGTGAAATATGCAACCGCTAGCAATACTGGGATAGTAATACTCAGAATTTTTAATAAAGAAATTATTATTGAATAGATCATCTGACAGGCTAAAACCGGACTTGAACCAGTATTTTAAGATTTGCAATCTCGCACATTACCATTATGTTATTTAGCCTTAAATAGGACAGAGTGGGATTCGAACCCACGGTATCTATTAAATACAACAGTTTTCAAAACTATCGCCTTAAACCGCTCGGCCATCCATCCAAAAAATAATTTAATACTATCAGCAACTGAAGGGATTTGAACCCTTAGCTTTAACCTTGGCAAGGTTACACTCTACCAATTGAGTTACAGTTGCATTACGCACTAAGAGGTAGCTTAAATGAATTAAGTAAATATAATAATTCTTTCTTTGATCTTGCATTAGTCACAAAAGTCACATTTAACGGAGGCAAGTTGGAAAACAAATAGAATTGTTTTTCAAGCTCTTTAAAACTGATAAGATCAATTAATGTGAAAGAAAGACTAGTCCTATTTAACTTTTTTGCAACATGAATTCCTCTAAAATCTCTTAAATTTGGAAATACATCTATTAGAAGCTTAAACGTAAAATCATACATTTTATTTTTTTTCAAAACAACCATACAGCCAACTGGGTTTCCTTTTCTAATTTTAAGAAGAATATTTGCTCGTTTTGACTTCGTAAGAACGCCTTTTTGACCAGTAATTAATTCTAAAGAAAGCAGTGAAACGGAAAGGTTTCTAATATCAAAATTTTTACACCCAAAGTTCAAAACAATTTTTTTTAACTGAGGTATGTCTTCAATACGGTTATAAAAGAATTTGTTTAGCAAATCGTACCTAATAACTTTTTTATAATAATTTTCTAAGATATTCATAATTTTTCTTAATTGTGATTTAAATTAAACCAATCGATAGGCTTACGAATTTCATGAATTTTGTTTTTTTTAATATCTTAGGGATAGGTCCTAAAATCCGTGTACCAATTGGGTTTCCTTGCTTGTTGATTAAAGCAACGGCATTTTCCTGCAAGAAGAAAGATGAACCATCTTTTTTTCGATATTTCTTCTTGGTTCGAACGACTAAAGCTCTAAAAACTTCTCCTTTTGAAACTTTAGATGTTTTTTTAGATTTGTTCCGTAGCTGTTGAACAGAAACTACAACAATATCACCTAATTTAGCATAACGTTTTTTAAAACCTCCCAAAACTTTAATACATTTAACTGTTTTTGCTCCTGAATTATCTGCTACTTTTAAAATAGTTTGTTGTTGGATCATTTTACTTTTAAAAATTTGCGTTTATAGCTCAATTGGATAGAGCGTTGGATTTCGGTCCCAAAGGTTATAGGTTCAACTCCTATTAAACGTAACACGTTTTTACTTTACCATCGGAACTTCGACAAATATCGTTTATTAATTAAGATTTGTCGCTGAACTTCATTCTTCTGATCAATTGATTGACCTTTTAAAGCTGAAGCTGTCAAAATTTCAGTAGCTAATTTCTTATACAAAAAATCAGAATTTTTACTCTTTACTGAAATTTCTGTCAGCAACTTTAAAGCAGTAGTGACTCTTAACGAATCACTAATAATAAACGAGGGTATAGTTTTGATAGCCTTCCGCTTTCCTTTTTTTACTGCTTGTTCGTTTACTTTAAAAGCAGAAGCCGAGTTTACTATTGCTGAATGAAGTAAGGTTTTAAAGTTGTTATCAGTTGATTTCTGCAATGATTTCAATGATTTTAATAAAATTTTCTCTCCGGTTGTTTTTCTTCCACTTTTCATTAAAGTGTTGACAATTTTTCTTTTTAAATACGATGTTTTATTTTTTTTTAACGATTTAATCATAAATAGTTTTTAACTTTTTTTGTTCCGTATTTAGATCGCGATGTTTTTCTCGAAGCTAAACCTGCAAAGTCTAACTTACCTCGAACTAAATGATATTTGATTCCAGGTAAATCTTTAACCCTACCACCTCGTATAATCACAGTAGAATACGCTTGTAAATTGTGACCTTCACCTGGTATATAAGCATACACCATTTTATCATTACTTAACCGTAATTTTACAATCTTTCGAAGAGCAGAATTTGGTTTTTTAGGAGTCCGTAAAACTAACTTTGTACAAATTCCTTTTCGTTGTGGGCATTTATCTAACGCAGGTACTTTATTTAATTTTCTTTTCTTTTTTCGACTTTTTTGTTTCTTACAAAGTTGATTTAATGTAACCATATAAAATTACCAAAAAGGGGACTTGAACCCCTACTCTTAAAAAGAACTAGAACCTAAACCTAGCATGTCTACCAATTCCATCATTTTGGTGCAAAATACTCGTTACCGGACTTGAACCGATACTCTAAAATAGAATCAGATTTTAAGTCTGACGTGTCTACCAATTCCACCAAACGAGCAAATAAAGTATTGGAGATAATCGGACTCGAACCGATAACTTCATGCTTGCAAAGCATACACTCTACCAATTGAGTTATACCCCCTTTCCCTCATTATTTGTTTTCTTACTTTTTTCTTTTGACAATTACATCATAACTGAAAAGATTTGGTAGAAAAACAGAATTTAAACTCAGAGAATTTTCTTTAAAAAGTTTTTTTGTTCTGAACTTTAAAACAGTAATTATTTCAGGTAATAACCTTAACGAAATAAATGCATAATAAAGTACTGCACTTAATAATGAACTAAATAAAACAACAGATAGAGTAGTAAAATCGAACTGCGGTATTTCTTATAGCTACAATCTTTAACGTGATAAAAGCAGATAACAGCTGTGTTAAAAACATACTCTTCAGGCAGGATTTGAACCAACGTCCAGGTGGTTAACAGCCACTTGCTCTACCACTGAGCTACTGAAGAATTCATAAGCTTTTAAAATTGTGATAAATTTTTGAAGACTAGTTACCTACTTGCATGACCAACATCAGTTAGAAATAAGATTATGACCTTTTAATATTCGCAACAATAGAATTCAAATTTAGGTAATGATTGAATACTGGGATAAAATTAGAATCCGCTGTATATAAAAATAATATTTGTAATGTCTTATAATTAATAGCGAGATGCTTCGGAGGCAAAGGCCAAAAATTAGACCGATCTAAATTTTTTTTCACCAATTGACGTGATTTTGGGTTTAGAGTTATTTCAATTAAATCATTTGGCTTTAAAATATAAGACTTAGTGGTTATAGGAATACTATTAACCAAAACATGCCCGTGCAAAATTAGTTGAGCAGAACTTTTAAAACTAAGACAGAATTTAGACCTAACTAACACTGTATCTAATCTACTTTCAAAGAATTGTAAAGTTTGATACCTAAAGTCATTTATTCCATTTCTATATTGTTTGGTTTGTATCGATTTAAGAATATGCGTTTTAAGATACTTTCTTTTTAGCCCACCGTAAAAGAGGCTAAACAGTTTCCGATCGTATAAATTGTTTCTAAACTTTTTTTGAAAAGAATTTCCCCTGCTTGCAAACTTTGAAATTGATGATTGAAACTGATCCTTTACTTGGAAACGTCGATAAAATTTTAATTGATTTTTTGAATATCTTTGAATGTTTTGCCATTTTTGCTTTTTAAATTTAAAAAGTTTTGGACGGTCTTGAATGTTTTTTCGTAACCGCAAAAACTGTTTGTAAAACGGTTTATTTCGTTTATTTGATTTCATATCTGATTGAGATTAAACAAAATTATCGATTTGATTTCTTTTGACCAGTTGGTTGTTTTAAAAAGGGCTTTCTATTTTGAATATCTGAAATTTTAAAAAGAAAGTTTAAACCAATAGAAAATAAATTTTTATCAGCAGTCAAACTTGAATTTTTGTGACTTAATTGCAAATCATACGAATAGGTTGACCAAGTTTTTTTTGAAAGATCTTCAGTCCTAAAATTTATGATAGGAAGTTTTGCAACAGCACATTCTTTATGAATTGCCTCTGATTTTTCATGCGCGACAACAACTACCAAATCTGGCTTTTGTGATAGTTTTGGCAATAAAGACTTGAATTTAACAGTCTTTTGTTTGTTAACTTGTTTGACACTCATCAAATTTTGATTTGATCTGTTTGAAATAAGGCCTTGAATATTCAGATCTTGAGGAAAGGCAACATGATTTGTAGTTCTATTAATTTTTGACTCTAATTTTGTTGGTAGCCCTATGAAAAGAATCCGCCTACTCTTAGCGTGATATTGAAAAATAATTTGCAATGCTTTTTTCAAGTTAAACAGAGTCTCATTTAAACTTAAATCTGTGACAAGATTCATATTATTGTTTTTTACTAATGATTGTTCATACGTTCTATGTTTCAATAAATGTAATTTTAAGATTTGTTTGAATTCTAATTTCCTTAATTTCATTCTTTACCCGCTTAAATTTTTTTACCCTTTTTTAGTACAATCTTTTCTTGGTTATATAAAATTCCTTTTCCCTTGTAAGGCTCTGGCAGCTTACAACTTCGAATTTGAGCAGCTGTATGCGTTAATAAGTCAAACGAACAATTTCCAAACAAGAACAGTTTTGTAAATTTTTGGCAAAAAGAATTTAAATCATTTGGAATCTTAAAATAAACTAAGTGACTATAACCTAATTTTAAATAAATTTGATTTTGCAGCTTTTCGTGTGCAAACACTCGGTAACCAACTCCAACAAGATTTAATTTGTTGTACAATGTATAACTAACTTCAATAATAGCTTGCTTTATTTTTGAAACGGTTGTGCCTTGAAGTTTTTTAGAACTTTTCAAGCTACCAGTAGAAACATTCGAAAGAGGGATCTGAGTTACAACTATTAATTGAGAGTCCGAAATCAAAAAAATTTTAACATTTAGTTTAAGTGATTTAGTTTGAAGCGGCCCTACAAAAGTTATTATATTTTTTTTATCGCAATATATGATACTTATATTTTTGGGTATCTTTACAGTATATCTTTTTTTTAACTTTTTTAAATTAGACATTTTTCCGAATCAATATTGTAAGTTTTTAAGAAATAATTAATAACGGTTCACCCCCTAATCGATTTTTTTTACATTCACTTATAGATTTTAAACCACTACTAGTTGAAAAAATAATGAAAGTTTTTGATGAATCTAACTTCCAAATTTGTTTAGACGAATAGTACATCCGTTGGCCTGGTTTTGATAAAAATTTCATTGAATTTATAGCAGGCAATCCATTTTTTGTATATTTTAGAAAAATTTCTAACTTGTTATCGTTTTCGCTTGAAACTCTATAACCTGTAATAAAGCCTTCATTCCATAACACTTTTAGTGATGATTCACAAATATTTTTTCGTGGTCCTATAACGGTGCTTTTTTTAGCCATTTGGCCATTTTTGATGCTAGTAAACATATTCCATAAATAGCTTTTCATATATATATATGTATTATACTTATTGTATAAAATTTAAATTCAATGTTCGAAGGCAGACTCGAACTGCCGACACAAGGATTTTCAGTCCTTTGCTCTACCTACTGAGCTATTCGAACAATATAACAAAAACCACCATTACAAACTAATGTAATGCTTCACTATCATTTAAGTAGATCGCAGTTAATGTTATGAAAACATATGCTTGAATTAGTGCAACAGCAAGCTCTAAACCAGTTAGTACAACTAGGACTAATAATGGAAAAATAAATGCAATTGCTTTTAAATTTTCAACTAATAACATATTCCAAGAAAATCCTACAATTACTTTTAATAAGCTATGACCAGCCATTAAATTAATAAATAACCGAACCCCTAAACTAATAGGCTTTGCGATGTAAGAAATTAATTCAATCGGAACTAAAACTAAAGCTAAAAAGAAACCAGTGTTTGCCGGTAAAAATAATGAGAAATACTCCATACCATGCCTTTCGAATCCAATAACATTTAAAGCAACGAAAATTGAAAATGATAAGAAGAATGTTAAGGTAATATGACTTGTAGTAGTAAAACTATATGGAACCATACCAATTAAATTATTAGATAAAATAAACATAAACAATACTGCCATGAAAGGGAAATATTTTTCACTTCCGGTTGTTATAATATCTGATAAAATTTGACTAACAAGCGCATATAATTTCTCAATTAAATTTTGCCAACCACTTGGAATAACAAAAAAAGAATTAGTGGTAGGTTCTTTAATTAAAAACACTATACTTTGGATTACGAATAATGTTACAAGAGCTGCTAAAGTAAAATTTGTGAAAGAAAGGTCTAAACCTGCAATTTGTAGGCTAATAAGAGGAGCTATTTTAAATTGATCTAATGGACTATATACCATATTTCTATTTAACAATTAATGGTTCGATGCTGCTTGTCGGCTACTGTAAAATGCTTCAGCCATAACAAAGAAGAAGAACACAAACGATGCACCTGAAATATAAGAACCCCATGATGCAATTTTGTTAAATAAATAGAACGCGTCAGGATAATCTGGAATTCGTCGAGGCATACCTGCAACTCCTAACCAATGCATTGGGAAAAAGGTGATATTTACGCCAGTAAAGAATGTCCAGAAATGAATCTGAGCTAAAATTTCAGAGTATTGTACTCCAGTGATTTTTTCAAACCAATAATATAATCCACCAAAAATAGAGAATACTGCTCCCATAGACAGTACGTAATGAAAATGTGCAACCACGTAATAAGTGTCATGTAATGCTACATCTAAACCTGAGTTTGCTAACACTACACCAGTAACACCTCCTACTGTGAATAAGAAAATGAAACCTAAAGCGAATAAGATTGGTGCTCTCATTTCAATGGTACTACCCCATAATGTTGCTAACCAGCTGAAAATTTTAATTCCAGTTGGGATAGCAATAATCATAGTTGCAGCAGTAAAGTATGCTCGTGTATCAATATCTAAACCTACGGTGTACATATGGTGAGCCCAAACAATGAATCCTAAAACTCCAATAGAACACATTGCATAAACCATACCTAAGTAACCAAAGATAGGCTTCCGTGAAGCACTCACAACAATATGACTAATAATTCCAAAACCTGGAAGAATTAAAATATATACCTCTGGATGACCAAAGAACCAGAATAAATGCTGGTACAGCACAGGATCACCTCCACCTGCAGGATCAAAAAATGTAGTGTTGAAATTTCTATCAGTTAATAACATGGTAATAGCACCCGCTAACACTGGTAGAGACAACAATAATAAAATTGCAGTAATGAAAACAGCCCATACGAATAGAGGTAGCTTATGGAATGGAAGACTTTCGGTTCTCATATTAACAATTGTACAAATAAAATTGATTGCACCTAAGATAGAAGCTGCTCCAGACAAGTGAAGACTAAAAATTGCTAAGTCTACTGCACCACCTGAGTGAGCAATAATTCCTGAAAGAGGTGGATAAACTGTCCATCCAGTACCTACCCCTGCCTCACATAATACTGACTCAACTAATAATAAAAGAGATGGTGGTAATAACCAAAAACTAATATTATTCATTCGTGGGAAAGCCATATCAGGAGCACCGATCATTAATGGAACAAACCAGTTACCGAAACCACCGATTAAAATTGGCATAACCATGAAAAAAATCATGATGAATGCATGACCAGTTACGATCACATTATAAAAATGGTGGTTGTATTCTAGGAAACTTCCATTTGGTTGTGCTAAGGTAATCCTTATATAAAGTGATAAAGCGGTACCTGCTACACCAGCAATACCTCCAAAAATTATATAAAGAGTTCCAATATCTTTGTGGTTAGTTGAAAAAAACCATCGAAAAATAAAACTAGTTACTTTTTCTAGTGTTGTTTGATTTGTGTGAATAGCACCCATTTTAAAAAATTTGATAAAATAAATTCTATGTTTATTTATGCTCAAGTAATTGTTAATAAAACCGAGCAGTTTTGTCTGGTTTATACTACTTCAAAGAATATTCTTATTTGGAATATCCAAAAACACTCTGACTCATCATTTTGTTATTTCAACGATGTTTTTCTCTCTTAAAGTAATAGTTACTACAAGGGTTGGAATAGTTAAGACTTCTTTCTAGTTCTTACTATCCATTATTATAGTCCTAGTCACTTCAAGTTCCTATTTTTATCTCCCCCTCCTATTATAGTTCTAAAAATTTGGTAACACTACAAAAAATCGTAAAAATTTGTCACCACTACAAGAAAATCGCAAAGCGCTAATAAAAATTTGGTAACACTACAAAAGAAAATCGCAAATTTGCACGATTTTTTATGAAAAAATGTCGCTATTTTTTGGGTGATTTAAAAGAAGACTTTGTACAAGTCTTTTTTTAGTCACAGAGGGCTAAACAACTTTGTACCGCTGTTCGTTTGCAATATTGGATTTGAAGTAGTAATAGTAGTCTTTTATCGCGTTTTTAAAAAAAGCAGCGCGGCTATTGCTCCTTTTGGTCAAGCCCAAAAGGACAGCTATTCATAGGTAGTGGCTCTGTTCCAAACTGTTTTTAAAAACAATGCTAGCTATTTTATACAGAGTTTTTTTGGCCTTGTGCCCAAACCAGGCCTTTAAACATTAACTCTATGACAATCGCCCAAAAGGACAGCCATTGCAGGGGGTTTATGGATTTTTCGCGTTTTTTTAAGGTTTTTACAAAATCACTGCATGTTTTTTTAAGCTTTAAAGGTTTTTATTGTCAATACTCGCATTTTTTGACAGGATTTTACTGAATTTTTACAATTTTTTTGTAGTGTTACCAAATTTTTATGAGGTTTTTACAATTTTTTTGTAGTGTTACCAAATTTTTAGAACTATAGTAGGAGGGGGGGGGATAAAAATAGAAATAAAAACAGAGATGGAAACAAGAATAAGAGTTTAAAGCAGTGGGAACGACAATAATAATGGATAGTAAGAACTAGAAAGAAGTCTTAACTATTCCAACCCTTGTAGTACCTACTACTTTAAGAGAGAAAAACATCGTTGAAATAACAAAATGGTGAGATAGAATGTTTTGGATATTCCAAATAAGAATACGAGGACTTTTTATAAGAACAATTTACATAAATCCTTAAATTTTTTTAGTGTTACCAAATTTTTAGAACTATAATAGAAGGAATAGCAAAATTCTTAAGTTCTTATCGTCTAATGGTTAGGACACTACTCTTTCACAGTAGGAATACGGGTTCAAATCCCGTTGAGAATAACAAAAATTTCCTATGTAAATGGCGAGTATAACTCAGTTGGTTAGAGTGCTAGGTTGTGGTTCTAGAAGTCACAGGTTCGAATCCTGTTATTCGCCTTTATTTTCATAAATAAAATTTAAAAAAGTTATTGAAAGCATTAAATGGATACTTAAGCATTAAAATTTTGATGGACGTTTCATAACGAAATATTGCAAGGAATAGTGATTACATGTTGAGATCTGCAATTATCCATAAATTTAGAAAACTAATCTTTGTTTATATAAGAATTGTTTAAAAAGTTAAACAAATAACTTGGTGAACTGAATCATCTAAGTAACCAAGAATCTAAATCAACCGAGACACTGTAATTAGTGGCGAGCGAACGCAGTGATAGACTTTGAAGATCCAAAATTATTATTTAACACACGAGTGGCCAAAGAAGGTAACCTAAATTAAAAGGAGAGCCCTGTAAAATAAAATCTAGATCTTCATTTTAGTAGGATGGAACAAGTCATGTTTTGTCTGAATATTGGGGGCCCACCCTCAAAGTCTGTAAGTTTTAATGACTGATAGTGAAAAGTACCGTGAGGGAAAAGTGAAAAAGACTTTGCGAAAGTGAAAAGACTTTGAAATTTAATGCTGACAATCTGTCATAGTTTTTTAAAATGATGACGTACCTTTTGTATAATGGACCAACAAGTTTATTTTAGTGGCGAGCTTAAATAATTTATATGTAGGCGTAAAGAAATTAAGTTTTAAAATGCTTTTTAGTCTCTGAAATAAGACCCGAAACTAAGTGATCTAACCGTGGGCAGGTTGAAGTTTAGGCGGAAACGCCTTTCGGAGGACCGAACCCGTGTATGTGGAAAAATACTGGGATGACCTGCGGTTAGGGGTGAAAGGCCAATCAAACTTAGAGATAGCTGGTTTTCTGCGAAATCTATTTAAGTAGAGCGTTTAAAGAACTTTTTTAGGGGTAGAGCTCTCGATAAGCAATGGGGGTTTAACGCTTTACTGAGTTTATTGAAACTTCGAATACTAAATTAAAAGACTTTAAGCAGACAGACTATGAGTGCTAAGATTCATAGTCAAGAGGGAAACAGCCCAGACTATTAACTAAGGCTCCTAAAAATAATTAAGTGATAAAATTGTTAAAAAATGTTGACAACCGAAAGGTAGGCTTAGAAGCAGCCACCCTTTAAAGAAAGCGTAACAGCTCATTGGTTTAGTTTTTTTGCATTGAAAATGTATGGAACTAAAATTATTTGCCGAAGTTATAGATTTATAAAATATAAATGGTAGCAGAACGTTCTGTAAGCTTAAGAAGTTTTATAGTAATATAAAGTGGAGGCATCAGAAATGAAAATGTTGGTATGAGTAACGATAAACAATGTGTAAAACATTGTCGCCTTAAGTCCCAGGTTTCCAAAACAAGGCTAATCCGTTTTGGTGTTAATCGGCCTCTAAGAACGAAAACGAAAGTTTTGATTCGATGAGAAATATATAAATTCTTAAAAAGTGACAAAGTACGAATGTTATTTTTATTTTATGGTTTAAATAAAAGTTTTATAGTGCTTTCTGGAAATAGCTTTTAAGATTTAAAACCGTACCTTAAACCGACACAGGTGGACAAGTTTAGTAAACTAAGGCGCTTGAGAGAATTACGTTGAAGGAACTCGGCAAAATGACTCCGTAACTTCGGAATAAGGAGTGACTTTATTAGGGCAACCTTTTAAAGTTGTCACAAAATCGGGGACAGCGACTAGTTAATAAAACTACAGGTTTCTGCTAATTTGTAAAAAGATGTATTGAAACTGACGCCTGCCCAGTGCTGCAAGATTAAAGGAAGAGGTCTTTTGGCTTTGACCCTAACTCCCAGTAAACGGCGGCTGTAACTCTGACGGTCCTAAGGTAGCGAAATTCCTTGGCATTTAATTGGTGTCCTGCATGAATGGCGTAACGACTGTCCCACTGTCTCCAACGTAAACTCAGTGAAATTGAATTTTCCGTGAAGATGCGGAATTCCTGCGGCTAGACGGAAAGACCCCGTGCACCTTTACTGCAGTTATATATTGTAATGAAATTTTTTTTGTGTAGAATAAGTGGGAAATTGTTAATATCTGTTTACACAAGTAAATAAGTTAAATATCGTTGAAATACCACTCTGAAAATTTTTCATTACTTATTTTTCATTTAAAAGACAGTGTATAATGGGTAGTTTGACTGGGGCGGTCGCCTCCTAAAGAGTAACGGAGGCGTGCAAAGGTAGATTTGAGTTGAACTAAAACAACTTTAAAGCATAATAGTATATATTTGCCTGACTGTAAGATTGACAAATCAAGCAGGGACGAAAGTCGGTTATAGTGATCCGGTGATTCTGAGTGGAAAAGGTCACCGCTCAACGAATAAAAGGTACGCCGGGGATAACAGGCTAATCACCCTTTAGAGACCATATCGACGGGGTGGTTTGGCACCTCGATGTTGGATTATCGCATCCTGGAGCTGTAGGCGGTTCCAAGGGTTTGACTGTTCGTCAATGAAGGCGGTACATGATCTGAGTTTAGAACGTTGTGAAACAGTTTGGTCCCTATCTACCGTAGGTGTAGAAAATTGAGAGGAGTAAACCCTAGTACGAGAGGACCGGGAAAAGTAAATCTCTGGTGAATCGATTGTTATACCAATAGCATAGTCGAGTAGCTACATTTATAATAAATAATCACTGAAAGCATCTAAGTGAGAAATTAGCCTCAATACAAATTTTCTTAAAAATGTAATAGACTATTACATAGATAGGCTTGGTGTGTAAGAGTTGTAAGACTTTTAGCTAACAAGTACTAAAATAATTTTTAATGAACTTTTTTATATTATCATTGGATCTTTTTAGCTCCAATTATAGATTTTAATTCAAATTAATTATATAACTTACATATAGATGTATATAATTATTATAATATGAGTTTGATCCTGGCTCAGGATGAACGCTAGTAGTATGCTTAACACATGCAAGTCTAACGGAAAATTTTTTCGTGGCGAACGGGTGAGTAGATGCAGAATTTTTCCTTCTAGTTTAGTACAAAAATTCTTTATTGAATTTAAATTCTGAATATTTTAAAGGTTTGTGTTTTATACATTCCGCTAGAAGATAAATCTGTTAAAGATTAGGTTGTTGGTAATTTAATAGCTTACCAAGCCGTTGATCTTTAGTTGGTCTTAGAGGATGATCAACCACACTGGAACTGAAATAAGGTCCAGGCTGACATGTCGGCCAGCAGTGAGGAATATTGGACAATGAACGAAAGTTTGATCCAGCAATACTAACTGGGTGATGACGGCTTATTTAAGTTGTAAGATCCTTTGATTAAAGAAGATAATGACATTATTTAATTGAATTAGTCCTGGCTAATACTCGTGCCAGCAGCCGCGGTAATACGGGAAGGGCAAGCGTTATCCGGCATGACTGGGCGTAAAGAGTCCGTAGACTGTAAAGTAAGTTTTTTGTCAAATTTTAAAACTCAATTTTAAAACTGCAATTAATACTACTTTACTTTGAGTTTAATACAGAAAAGTAGAATTTTATACGAAGGGGTGAAATCTGTAGATATATAAAGGAATGCCGTTAGCGAAGGCGACTTTTTAGTATAAACTGACGTTGAGGGACGAAAGTGTGGGTAGCAAACAGGATTAGAGACCCTGGTAGTCCACACCGTAAATTCTGAGTGCTGTAATTTAATTGTAATATTTCAAATATTATTTAGATTTTCAAGCTAACGCAATAAGCACTCCGCCTGAAGAGTACGATCGCAAGATTGGAACTCAAAGGAATTGACGGGGGTCTAACACTAGTGGTGGAGCATGTGGTTTAATGCGATAATCCGCGCAAAACCTTACCAATTCTTGACATAATTAAATTATAGCTTTTAATTCAGTGTAGGAGTTAAAAGTGATGTTTTTTTACAGGTGTTGCACGACTGTCGTCAGCTCGTGTCGTGAGATGTTTGGTTAAGTCCTGAAACGGGCGCAACTCTTACTTTTAAATAAAGTATCACGTTCTAAAAAATTTTCTTGTAAAGTTTTTTAAATGCTTTAAAAGTACCGTCAATGATAAATTGAAGGAAGGTAAGAATGAAGTCAAGTCAATGTGACCCTAATGAATTGGGCTACACATGTGCTACAATGAAAATTACAAAAAGTGACAAAAAAGAGATTTTAAGTTAATCAACAAAAATTTTCCCAGTTCGAATTGTAGACTGCAACTCGTCTACATGAAGTTGGAATCACTAGTAATCGCGAATCAGAACGTCGCGGTGAACATGTAACTTGGCCTTGTACACACCGCCCGTCACTTGCAAAGAATCAGTTTCGCTTGAAGGTTTTAATAAAACCCATTGAGAGATCGATAATTTGGATGAAGTCGTAACAAGGTAGCTGTACGGGAACGTGTAGCTGGAACAAAATGAATAGTTTAAGGCTAATTTTCAAACAGTTTTTGGAATTTTAAGGTTCGAATCCTTTTTTCATTTTAACCTGAAAATCTTTTTCAAGAGTTTAAACTAAAAGTTTTTTTAAATACTGAAAATATCGGGAATCTTTTAAAAATTTATTAGTTAGGTCAGGGAAGTGCATTGGTTAGCATGTTAGGCTCATGCCCTAAAGTTTGTAGGTTCGAATCCTGCCTCTGACAAATGATGATATTGACTTATTTTATGTGCGCGGTACTGTTAAGTAGTGCTGCAATGGTTATTGTTTCAAAAAACCCGCTTCACTCTGTCTTATTTTTAGTTACAAGCTTCTTATCAGCTTCGATGTTGCTATTTTTATTTGAAAATGAATTTTTAGCACTGTTTTTTTTAATAATTTATTTAGGTGCTATTGCAATTTTATTTTTGTTCGTCGTAATGATGCTTGATATCAAATATAGAGAATTACAGACTAGTCGATTATATCTTCCAGCAGGAATTTTGATTGGTTCTACCATGTTAATTGAAGTTTATGGTGCTTTTTCGAAGGTTTTCTCAAAGTACACTAACGTGAGTAATCAAGAGCATAATTCGTATTTAAATTGGTATGATATGCTAGATGCATTACCTGATCTCTATGTCTTTGGTCAAATATTTTATACACATTATGTGTTACAAATTCTGATTGCTGGACTAATTTTATATCTTGCAGTTATTGGGGTAGCTTTTTTGACAGTGAAATCAGCATTTAGTAGAACTGTTAATGAGCAATCGATATTTAGACAATTATCTCGAAAAGATGTTCTTTAATCTTAAAACACTGGCAGGATAGTTCAGTTGGTTAGAACATTGGAATCATAATCCAAGTGTCGGGGGTTCAAGTCCCTCTCCCGTCAATTAATAATGACAACAAAGTGATTAACTCAACTGGTAGAGTGTCTCGCTTACAACGAGGAAGTTAGTGGTTCGAATCCGCTATCACTTATATATTCGAAAGATTATCTAAAAATGGGAGCATTAACACTTAAAGCCTTTTCAGATGAGCTAAGAGAATGGGAATTTATTGAAGGAGAGGGTATTGACCCAACTGATAGTTTTGGTGTCAACTTAAGATTATCAATCAGAGAAAATCAAATTTTTTTAGCAGAACCGAGTGATCCGACAATTCCATGGATAACAGATAAAGGTCGGCTATTTTTTGATGGAATGTTTGAAAAAAAATCAGAAAAACAAACAAATTGGGAGTTATTTTTTAATGATATTTTAGAGTTAATTTATTTCATGGATCATTTAAATTTTCATAAAAAAAACGCTTCTTCGTTTATTTTTGCGTTTGAAAATATAAGTTTAGAAACATTGAACATGTTATATCTTATAAAGCAAAATTGTTCACTGATCAAATTAAGAAAAGTTGAAAGCCATAAATCTTCTAATGACTTAGAATCTAGTTACCAATTGTCTCCTGCGACTCAAAAACCAAAACTTTATATGTCAAGTTTATGTATTTTATTAAATACAAATCCAAGATATGAAGGTTATGTTTTAAATTTAAGTTTGAGGCAAAGATTCTTAAAAGGTGACTTTAAACTATTAAATATTGGTTCTATGTTAGACTTAACTGTACCAACTTATAACCTAGGCTCAAATTTCAGTGTACTAAAATCATTAGCTGAAGGAACTCATTTATCGTGTCAAGATATTAAAAATGCGGATCATCCAATGTTGATTACAAACACTGAAACTTTGAAACGAAGCGATGCAAAAATTTTCATGGAGGTATTAAAGTATACTAGTGTGATTGATGTTGCGTGGAACGTTTTAAATCACAATTTAAGTAGCACTGGTATTCAGTCATTAAATAGGTTTTTACCACTTACAACTGAAGATTTTGTTAATTTCTTTGGGTTATACTATATAAATGTTTCATTAGATTCGACAGCTAATATTAAAAAGTTAGTTGATTTACATTTATTGAATATCTTGTCACTTCCAAATTCATTTAATAATTCAGTTTTCGTTGACCAAAATACAAACCCTATTAACCGTTCGTTTTATGAAAAAGCAAAAGATAAAATGTTTAAAAACTACTTCTATCTACCAAATAATTTATTTTTAGAAGACAATGAAACTTACGTCAACACTCAAGGTTTGATAAAACGAACAACTAAATTAATACATTTTAAGAAAGATGCGAAAACTAACTGGCAGATCACACGAAAGTTTTATGCTAATACAAAATCACTTATCTTTTTTAACAATAAAAAAGACAATGACTTGGTAAGTTTTAATTCAATTAATTCATTTAACTTCCGAAACTATGTTAATTTTCAATTCTTTGCTGTTCAAACGTTATCTAGTTTAAGTTTCTATTTGACTAAACAAAATTCACCATTGTCAGTATCTCCAAGCTTATCAATTAAGCCTGTGAGAATTAAATTATTAAATACAAAAATTAAGAGCTGGTTAGATGATTTTTTTAATAATAACGGTAAGGATTCGTTTAGCTACAATTCGTCGGTTCTGGTAAATTGTTCAAAAATTACAAGATCAAGTACTACAAACTTTTTTTAAGAACAAACACATGGATATCAATTTTTTCTCTAAAAATTTTATAACTTCTAATAACTATTTAGAACAATTTAGTTTTTTGAAGGAGTCTTCGATGAAAGAAGAATATTTAGGAATTTTTGTTTACTTATGTTTTGCAACTTTTCTTGCGCTTCTAATCGTTGTTCTATCTTATTTTCTAGTGACTCAAAGCCCAGAAACTGAGAAACTTTCAACTTATGAGTGTGGATTCGAACCGTATGGTGACACTCGAAACCAGTTTAATATTCGATTCTATATTATCGCGATTTTGTTCGTTTTATTCGATATTGAGATTATTTTCTTGCTGCCATGGTGTGTTTCGATTTCGCAATTAAACTTACTAGGATTTTGGTCTATGGTTGAGTTTTTAGTTGAACTAGGCATTGGTTTTATTTACGCATGGTGCGTAGGTGCAATCGAATGGAGTTAATATAAGGACATATATAAAAAGGGTTATATATTGTTTAAATATATACGTATATGTATACAATGAGTACTTTAAAGAATAATTTTAATATTAAATACGTAAATACAACTCATCAGTTTCATTTAGTGGATCCAAGCCCTTGGCCTCTTATGGCATCATTAGGCGGTTTTTTTTTAACAAGTGGTCTTGTATCTTATATGCATAAGTTTATAGGTGGTTGGAGTTTATTCCTTAATGGCTTCCTACTTGTGCTTTATGTTATGTATGTTTGGTGGCGAGATATTGTACGAGAAGCAACCTACGAAGAACATCATACTTTCGTTGTGCAAAGAGGGTTAAGATTAGGTATGATTTTATTTATTGTATCCGAGATAATGTTTTTCTTTGCTTTCTTTTGGGCCTTCTTTCACTCAAGTTTAGCTCCTGTTTTCAACATTGGGGGAGTATGGCCTCCTAAGTCAATTATTGCTATGAATACTTATACTATTCCATTAACTAATACTCTTATTTTATTAAGTTCTGGAGCAACTGTTACTTGGGCTCATCACGCTATTATCTTGAATGCTAAGCGTCACACAATCATCTCGCTTATTTACACTGTTGCATTAGCTGCATTGTTTACATATTTTCAAGGTTTAGAATATGTAACAGCTCCATTTAATATCAGTGATGGTATTTATGGATCTTGTTTTTATATGGCTACTGGTTTTCATGGTTTTCATGTTTTTGCTGGTACTATTGCATTAATTGTTTCATTTATCAGAATTGTGTTAAATCATTCTACAAACACTCAACATTTTGGTTTTGAGTCAGCAATTTGGTATTGGCATTTTGTAGACGTTGTATGGCTTTTCTTATTTATCAATATTTATTGGTGGGGAAATCTTGAGCCTTACAATTTATCTACAAACGTGCTAATGTAAATTTAAGCAAAATGGTTACTAACCTTTTAAAAAAAAATGATTTAGGTATGAATGAAGTTGTTAAACAAACTGCATTGGCAACACGAACACGTGCAAGAAACGTGTCTTTAAACAAATTCAGATGGAACAAAAGTTATTTATTAGGTTTTGTAGATAGCCATTTGATTCACTACCCAACTCCAATAAGTTTAACTTATGCATGGAGTTTTGGTTCTTTAGCAGGAATATGTCTTGTTATTCAGATTATCTCAGGAGTTCTGTTAACCACTCATTATACTGCAAACATTGATTTAGCATTTGCAAGTGTTGAATATATTATGCGTGATGTTCCAAATGGTTGGTTCATCCGGTATGTTCACGCAAACGGTGCTTCGATGTTCTTCATCGTTGTGTATTCACATATTTTCCGGGGTTTATACTACGGATCTTACATGAAGCCTCGACAGTTACTTTGGTGTTCAGGAGTAGTTTTAATGTTACTAATTATGGGAACTGCTTTTACTGGTTATGTTCTTCCTTGGGGTCAAATGAGTTTTTGGGGAGCAACTGTGATTACCAATATGGTAACTGCAATTCCTTTCGGAGGTCAAACTATAGTTGAGTGGTTATGGGGTGGTTTTACTGTAAACGCGCCAACTCTACGAAGATTCTATACTGTTCACTTTTTACTACCATTCATTATTGCTGGGGTAACATTAATTCACTTAGCCTTATTACATAAAGATGGTTCTAATAGTCCAATTGGTTCAGATACTGGTGTAGATGATGTTCCATTTTATCCGTATTATTTTGCAAAAGACTTATTTGCATTTACTTGCTTTATTCTTTTTTTTGGTGTTTTTGTATTTTTCTTTCCAAATTTATTAAATCACCCAGATAATTGTATTCCAGCAGATCCAATGGAAACTCCAAAACATTTAGTGCCTGAGTGGTATTTTCTGCCTTTCTATGCGATTTTAAGATCAATTCCACATAAAGCAGCAGGTATTGTTGCAATGGGTGGTGCGATCCTAATTCTATTAGTGATTCCGTATACTTATACTGGTTATATTAGAAATACTACCTACAGACCTTTATTTAAAGTATTTTATTGGTTATTAGTTGCAGACTTCCTAACACTAATGTGGGTTGGTCAAGCACCTATCACAGATCCATTCATCTTACTAGGTCAAGTAGCATCTGTATACTATTTTTCATTCTTTATTTTTATAATCCCTATTATTGGTATTATTGAAACAAAATTAGTTAACTATAAAGTAGATTAGTTTGTTTTGTTTACTGTTAAGTGGAAAGACTTATTGGTTTCATTCGTCTTTTGCGGAATTTCTTACAGGTTCAACTCCTGTTCTTAACTAATTATGATTGAGCTAGAATTATTTCAAATATATCATTTAAAAGAAATGTCGCTGTCAACTGAACTTTTTTTAAGTTGTTCTATACTTCAATTTACTTTTTATGCCATCAGTACAGCTTATCAACGTAAAGCGGGATTTGTCATTTTGAACCAGCAAGTCTATTACATTGGTTCTTTATTAATTATTTTGTCTTGTTTTCTTCTTTTGAATGAAGATTTATTAATTATGAATTCCTTTAGTAGTAATAATTTCATTATCAATGATTATTTTGGTTTTATTACTAAATTAACTATCTGTTTAACATCACTTATGTTTTTAACAATTATTAACGTTTCGTTTCGGGATGAGCCTATTCAAAACAATTTTGAATATGCAGTATTGATTATCATTTCGATTTTAGGTTTACTTTTACTTTGTTCTTCTAATGACTTAATCACAGCGTATCTTGCTATTGAATTACAAAGTGTCGCTTTTTATATCATGTCTACTTTTAAGAGAAATTCTAGTTATTCAATAGAAAGTGGTTTAAAATATTTTATTATTGGTGCGTTATCATCGGCATTTTTTCTTTTCGGTTCATCAATCGTTTATGGTTGTATGGGTAGTCTTAGTTTTGATGATCTTCAAATGTTTTTCTCATTACTGTTTTCAACTAAAGTTGATTCATCGATTTGGTACGCTTCATTAGTTCCAGATTTTCTATTTGCTGATAAAGCTTCGTCTATCGTTGCACTTTTTATTCCATTATTAGATAATGTTATTGGTATCAATCTAGATTTTGACTTCTTGACTACTTCTTTAAAACCATATTCTTGTCATGAACCAACCGGAGACAGTTTAATCGATTGGTGTTGTGCTCAAGATATTTACACAAACCAATTATTAACAAACGGTTTAACTCAAGTAAGTGTACCGTTTTCAATTTTTAATACATTCATAGATGGCTCTAACTTTCAATTAGTTGAAGGTCAGTTAAACATTTATGATAGAGCACTATTACTTGCCCAATATGATTTTTTCTCTTCTTATGTGACCCAATCATTTTTGTCTTACCCAATTTGGTCTGAATTGACAAATACTAATGGGTTATTAAATCTGAGTGAGAATGTGTCATTTTTAAACCATATTTTCAATTGTTATGTTAGTTCGGGAAGTTCTTTCGTGCAGCAAAGTGAGAGCCTTTTAAATTTGGAATTCGTTTCAATTGGTTTTATCTTAATTTGTTTGAGTATTTTCATAAAATTAGCTATCGCACCATTTCATTTTTGGTCGTTAGATGTTTATGAAGGGTCTCCTAATACTACGACTGCTTTCTTTTCAGTAGTTCCAAAAATAGGTCTGTTTGTATTATTGATGAGACTTTGTTATGTAAGTTTCTATAATATCTTCGATAGTTATCAACCATTTTTCTTTTTATTATCTCTGGCTAGTGTTTTCGTTGGTGCGCTAGGTGGCTTAGAGCAAAGAAAATTAAAAACTTTACTTGCTTATAGTTCTATTGGTCATACCGGTTATTTAATGTTATCGTTTAGTACCGGTAACGTTGAAGGTATGCAAATGATGTTTTACTATTTAGCGATTTATATGATTTCAGGGTTATGTTTTTGGTCTGTTTACTTATTTTTAAGACAAAAGAGGAATTTTTATTTTAACAAATCAAACAAAGAACTTGGAGATTTAGTGTTATTGAAAGAATCAAATCCAATGTTAGCTTTAATTTTAGCTATGACCTTGTTTTCTATTGCAGGAATTCCACCTATTGTTGGGTTCTTAGCTAAGATTGGAATTTTTTTAACAGTAATAAAATCTTCCGCATATTTAGTCGCTGTGTTAAGTATTCTTTTCAGTGTGATCTCAACATTTTATTATATTCGATTGATTAAAATTTTATATTTTGAAAACAGTTTAGTTGGAAAGCTTTATATTCCAATCACTACTCAGAAGTCTTTATTAATCTCGGTTTTAGCACTGTCTTTAATCGTTTTATGCATTGACCCTACTATTTTATATTTAGTTTTTTACAAAGCAACTTTGTTAGCAAGTTAGATTGTTTAAAATATCTCATTAAAGAAGAGTGGCTGAGGGGTTTAAAGCGAAGATCTGCTAAATCTTTATATAGAAATAAACTATATCGTGGGTTCGAATCCCACTTCTTCTGACTATTTTAAAAATTTGATTAATAATGTTTTTTCACATAAAAGTGTCTGCAAAAGATAAAAAAGTGTTAGAAAACTTTGGCCAATTTATTTCAAAATTACAACTAACTTCCAACTCTTTACAATCATTGTCTAAGCGTAATTTACGTAAGTTTATTACTGTGTTAAAATCACCTCATGTAAATAAAACGGCGCAAGAACAGTTTGAATTTAGAGTCTACACTAAAGAATTTGTAATTAGTTCTTTTAAACCCTTAACTCTTTTTTTAATTTTAAAGAAAATAAATAATTTAAGTTTTTCAGGACTAAACTTAAAAATAGAACGTTTGTTTAAACGAAATACGAAAAAAAAATTAATAGCATTAAATCCAGATAGTGTTGATCTTAACACTCTCGAAAAATTGAACCCACTCTCACTTTCAGATTCATTTAGTATTCAAAATTTTTCATCATCAAAAAGGTATATTCAATTATTTGATTGTTATGGGGAAATTGTTTTAAAAACCAATTTCCAATAAAATAAAATTTTCATATGTTGAATTGCATCTTTAGCTCAGTTGGATAGAGCAACAGCCTTCTAAGCTGACGGTCAGGGGTTCGAATCCCTTAAGATGTGAGTTTTTGCATCTAAATATGAAAAAAGGTTAGAGACCTTCTCTCATAAAATGTATATTCCATTAGTTTTTTTATCTTTTACAGGTTTTTGTATAGCTGGTTTATTCGGTAGACATATAGGACCTAAAGGTTCAGCAATCGTTACTACAGGATGTCTTGCTACTTCATTTTTATTATCACTATTTGCATTTTATGAAGTGGGATTGATGGGTAGTGTTGTTTACATCCGTTTAGCTCCTTGGGTTAGTTCAGAAGTATTGTTAATTAATTGGGGTTTTATGTTTGATAGTTTAACAGTTGTAATGTGTGTTGTTGTTACTTTCATATCGTCTCTTGTGCACCTTTATTCAATTGAGTACATGTCACATGATCCTCATTTGCCACGATTTATGTCTTATTTATCATTATTTACTTTTTTTATGTTAATTTTAGTTACAGCTGATAATTATATTCAAATGTTCCTAGGATGGGAGGGTATCGGTCTATGTTCGTATTTATTAATTAATTTTTGGTTTACTCGAGTACAAGCAAATAAAGCGGCAATCAAAGCTATGGTTATAAACCGAATTGGAGATTTTTGCTTAATTATAGGTATTTTAGTTATGTTTGTAAACTTTAAATCAGTTGATTATGCAACAGTAGCAGCCATGGCACCATTTTTTAAAAATGAAACTGCCAATTTTTTAAATTTAGATTTTGATGTTATTTCTCTTATTTGTGTGTTTTTATTTTTAGGTGCTGTCGGTAAATCTGCTCAGTTGGGTCTTCATACTTGGCTTCCAGATGCGATGGAAGGTCCTACTCCAGTGTCAGCGTTGATTCATGCTGCGACTCTAGTAACCGCAGGAGTGTTTTTGATCGCAAGAAGTTCGTTTCTTTTTGAATTAGCACCCAATGTTTTAGAGTTTGTTGCTGTATTGGGGGCAATGACTGCATTCTTTGCGTCAAGTGTAGGTTTACTACAAAACGATTTGAAGAAAGTAATTGCTTATTCAACTTGTAGTCAGTTAGGTTACATGGTCTTCTCTTGTGGTTGTTCAGATTATAGCGCGGGTGTTTTTCATTTAGCTAACCATGCCTTTTTTAAAGCGTTGTTGTTTTTAGGTGCTGGTGCTGTCATTCATGCCGTAAATGATGAACAAGATATGCGAAAAATGGGCGGTTTAAAGAAATTAGTGCCATTTACTTATTCTGCAATGACTATTGGTTCACTTGCTTTGATTGGTTTTCCATTTTTAGCTGGGTTTTACTCAAAAGATCTAGTTTTGGAGCTTGCATATGGTAAGTTTACTCCGTCTAGTCATTTTAGTTATTGGTTAGGAACTTTTGGTGCTTTCTTGACTGCTTTCTATTCAACTAGATTGGCTTGTTTAACTTTTTTAGTTAAACCCAATGGTTATCGGTCAGTTATTGGTTTTGCTCAAGAAACTTTTAGTTACATATTCGTGGCGTTATGTTTTTTAATTGTACCAAGTATTTTTATAGGTTTTATTGCTAAAGACATGGTAGTAGGTGTTGGTAGTGATTTCTTTGGTGCGGCTATTTATAACAATCCTAAAACTCTTCATGTCTTCGATGCTGAATTTGTAGTGTTCTTTTATAAGATTCTACCTGTTACATTAAGTTTGTTAGGTGCGACTTTATCATTCATTTTATATAATTTTCAAAGTTCAATTCTATTTCATGTTAAAACTTCATTCATCGGTCGTAAAGTTTATAGCTTTTTAAATAAAAAGTGGTTTTTTGATAAGATGTACAATGAATTGTTTGGCCAGTTTTTCTTTAAATTTGGTTATTCGATGAGTTATAAATCAATTGATAGGGGTACTTTTGAAATTATTGGTCCAACAGGCCTTTCTTCGGTAGCTATGAAAACCGCTCACCAACTGCATAAAGCTCAAACCGGTTCGTTATACCATTATACATTGATTATCTTAACAGCATTAACTCTAATATTATGTATGCGACAGTTATGGTCAGTTTTTGGTTATAGCTTTGATTATCGAGGTTTAGTATTAATTGTTATTACCCTATTTTTCATTTCAAATTCAAACCGATAAAACTAAATAAATGAGTATAGAAAAAATTTTCTTTTTTTGCGATGCTCCAGAGTTAGCTCAGCTAAGACTACAAGATCCGTCTACAACTACTATGGAAGGATTATTAGAATTTAACAAACATTTATTATTTGTTATTACAATTATAGTAATGCTAGTAGGTTGGCTAGTATTCGCAACAGTTTCTAATTTTGATGAATTTAACTCACAAAAAAGTCATAGTTTTTTTCACTCGAACGCTTTAGAGATTGTTTGGACTTCTTTACCTGCCCTAACATTATTAAGTTTAGCTTCACCATCATTTACTTTACTTTATTCTATGGATGAAATTTCGACACCAGAAATTTCAGTCAAAGTAATTGGTCACCAATGGTTTTGGAGTTATGAAATATCAGATTTTGATACAATGGCAACTTGTATGGACTCTGATAAAACTTTAAAATACACTTGTTATTTATTAACTGAAGAAAGTATTTCTGAGAAAAACTATTTAGGATTTTTCAGATTACTTGAAACTAACAAGCGTGTACTATTGCCATCAAATACTCACTTACGGTTATTAGTAACTTCAGTGGATGTATTACATAGCTGGACTATTCCATCTTTTGGGGTTAAAGTAGACGCATGTCCTGGAAGATTAAATCAAGTAAACGTTTTCTTAAAGCGAATTGGTATGTTCTTTGGACAATGTAGTGAGATTTGTGGGGTTAATCATGGATTTATGCCTATTGCACTTCTAGTAGTACCATCAATTCAGTACCACTATTTCGTTGTATCTAAATTATTCTAAGCTTTAAATTTAGATGCCAATAAGCCTGTAACTCAGTTGGTTAGAGTGTACGCCTGATAAGCGTAAAGTCAGTAGTTCAAATCTACTTAGGCTTAAATATATTTTGTTATGGTTTTAAAGAAAGAATTAGTAAAAGAAATAAAAAATTTCACTGTGAACTTTGGGCCTCAGCATCCCGCAGCACATGGAGTTTTAAGACTTGTTTTAGAATTAACAGGTGAAGTAGTAGAGCGAGCAGAACCTCATATTGGTCTTCTTCACCGAGGTACTGAGAAACTTATCGAGTATAAAAATTATTTACAAGCTTTGCCATATTTTGATAGGTTAGACTATGTGTCTATGATGGCACAAGAACATACTTATTGTTTGGCGATTGAAAAGCTATTGAATTGTAGTATACCAAAGCGTGCTCAGTACATCCGAGTTCTATTTGCAGAAATTACAAGAATTTTAAACCACCTTCTAGCAGTTGGTTGTCATGCCATGGATGTAGGTGCAATGACACCAATGTTATGGGGTTTCGAAGAACGAGAAAAATTAATGGAATTTTATGAAAGAGTGTCTGGTGCACGAATGCATGCTGCTTATTTTAGACCAGGAGGTGTTCATACTGATTTACCAAAAGGATTATTAACTGACATTTACCTATTCAAAGAGCAGTTCAAATTACGGTTACTTGAAATTGAAGAAATGTTAACCGAAAACAGAATCTGGAAGCAACGGCTTGTAGATATTGGTGTCGTTTCATTAGATCAAGCTCAAAACTGGGGATTTAGTGGAGTTATGCTAAGAGGGTCTGGACTTGAGTGGGATCTACGAAAAAGTCAACCGTATGAAGTTTATGATGAGTTAGAATTTGATATTTTAGCAGGTACAAATGGTGATTGTTATGATAGATATTTAATTCGAATTTTTGAGATGAAACAATCAATCAGAATTATCGAGCAATGTTTAGATAACATGCCTTTTGGGCCTATAAAGACTTCAGACAATAAAATCACTCCACCGTCACGATTTGATATTAAGCAATCTATGGAATCTTTAATTCACCACTTTAAGTTTTATACTAGCGGTATCAATATCCCGGCAAATGAAACATACACAGGAACCGAAGCTCCAAAAGGAGAATTTGGTGTTTATCTAGTTTCAAACAATTCTAATAAGCCGTATCGATGTAAAATAAAAGCTCCTGGTTTTGCTCATCTACAAGGATTAGATATGATGGCACGAGGTCACATGATTGCTGACGTAGTTACTATTATTGGAACTCAAGATATTGTATTTGGAGAAGTTGATCGATAAAAAATAATCAATTTCAAAAAAATACTTTTGGAGTATAGCCAAGTGGCAAGGCAATCGTTTTTGGTACGATCATTCAAAGGTTCGAATCCTTTTACTCCAATATTTTGGTGGTAAGATAAGATATGAAAACTTTTAAAAATATCAATATAGCATCTAATGGAAGTCTTTACTTTTGTTATAATGCTGAATTGTCGGGTTTAAACAAGCCCATTAACTTTCAAAAGCAAGATGAAAAAAATTTCAACTTTAATCAGAAAAAAGTTAAGAGTAACATTGATTCGAAACAATCTTCTTATTATAAGAAGAGATATTTAAAAAGATAGCTAAGGTTGAACTTTTAGTTAGTCTTAATTTGTATGAATTTAGCTTCATTATTTTATTATCAAGATATTCTTCTTTATATATCTTTTATTCCGTTAATAGGAATCGCTTTATTAGTTTTTATAAATCCAGAACAGCAAAAATTAATGAAAATTGTGGCTATTAATTTTTCGTCAATCCCCTTCATTCTTTTTTTATTTGTTTGGGGAGGATTTAAAAAATCTGTAGGAACTTTTCAATTTGTTAGTAAATTATTGTGGATTCCTGTTTTAAATCTAAATGTAACACTAGGAATTGATGGGATTTCTCTATTTTTCTTACTTCTAACAACTTTTTTGATCCCATTGTGTATTCTAATTAGTTGGAATAGTATTGGTTCAAACCTAAAAGGTTATTTGATTTCTTTTTTAATTATCGAATACTTTTTAATAGGTGTTTTTTGTGTTCTAGACGTGTTAATGTTTTACATTTTATTTGAAAGTATCTTGATCCCTATGTTTCTTGTTATAGGTATTTGGGGATCAAGAGAAAGAAAGATGTTAGCTTCGTATTATTTCTTTTTGTATACTTTGCTTGGTTCTGTAGTTATGTTGTTGTCAATTCTTTATATCTATGGCCAAGTTGGAACTACGGATTATGAAATTTTATTAACATTTATGTTTTCAGATTTCGAACAGAAAATTCTTTGGTTTACATTTTTCCTTGCTTTTGCTGCAAAAGTACCAATGGTTCCTGTTCATTTATGGTTACCAGAAGCTCACGTAGAGGCTCCAACTGCTGGTTCAGTTATTCTAGCTGGAGTGTTGTTAAAATTAGGGACATACGGGTTCATTCGATTCTCATTACCTTTATTTCCTCAAGCTTCATTTTATTTTGCCCCACTTGTTTATACTATGTCTTTAATTGGTATCGTTTATGCATCTTTAACTGCTATAAGACAAACAGATTTTAAACGAATTATTGCATATACATCTGTTGCACACATGAATGTTGTAATGTTAGGTATTTTTAGTTTTAACAATGTTGGTATAGAAGGAGCTTTACTGCAAAGTTTGAGTCACGGATTCGTTGCAAGTGCACTTTTCGTAATTATTGGAGTTGTTTATGAACGATATCGAACACGATTAGTTAAATATTATGGTGGTCTTGTGCACACAATGCCTTTATATATTTCTGTATTTCTGTTTTTCACAATGGCAAATATCGGTTTTCCCGGAACTAGTGGTTTCATCGGTGAGTTTTTAATTTTTGCAGGTTCTTTTAAAGTGAATTCTAGTGTAACTGTTTTCGGTGCGACTGGTATGATCTTAGGTGGTTGTTACGCATTGTGGTTATTCAACAGGATTGCTTACGGTAATCTTAAAAGTCAGTATATCAAAGAAACATTAGATATAAATAAGCGAGAATTTTTCATTTTCGTACCATTGATTTGTTACACTTTAATACTAGGTTTAACTCCAGACGCATACTTAAGCTCTATTCATATGAGTGTAAATAATTTAATCGAGAACATGTATTTCTAATAATCAAATGTTGTATTTACTAGAGACTAATTTACCTGAAAACAAATCGGTATTCTTTGCTTTAACATATATTTATGGAATAGGGAACAATACTGCTTTTCGTATTTGTAAAAAATTGGGATTTTCTACAAATTTAAAAATTAAAGATTTAACGCAAGAGCAAACTTTAGAAATTTTACAAATTATTGATTCTATGAATCTTGTTTTAAACAATGAATTAAAGAAACTCAGATCTTTGAGCTTGAAAAACTTAATTCAAATTAAGTCGTATCGAGGCCTGAGACGAGTCCGAGGTCTTCCTGTTAGAGGACAACGGACTCACACAAATGCGAAGTCTGCAAGAAAAGGCAGACGATCGTAAAAATATAACACAAAAATGAATAATTTATTTATTGCTGAAAATCTTAAAGTTATTACAAAAGTTTTACCTATCTTAAAGGTTCAAATTCACCAAAAAGAAATTAGCCTTATCGTTAAAAATTCTCATTTGATTCCGGTTTTGACCTTTTTAAAAAATCATATTAAATATCAATTTAAAATTTTAACTTGTATTTCAGGGGTGGATTATCCTGCTAATAAACACCGTTTTAAAGTTGTATACGATCTGTTAAGTGTTAGATATAACGTTAGAATTCGCGTAAAAGTGCTGACTGATGAATTAACTCCTGTAGAATCGTGTGATAAACTTTTCGCTGCAGCTAGTTGGTATGAATCTGAAATCTGGGATATGTTTGGAGTTTTCTTTAGCAATCACACTAATTTAACCCGTTTGCTAACTGATTATGGATTTGAAGGCTATCCGTTGCGAAAAGATTTTCCTTTAAGCGGATTTGTTGAAGCTAGTTATGATTATACTAGAAAAAGAGTTGTTAATGAGCGTGTAGAGTTAAGCCAAGAATATAGAGCGTTTAAATTCACTTCACCATGGGAAACTTTAGAATTAAATTAAACAATGAAAAAACTATTTGCAAAAGATCAAAAAAATAGACAAATTGTCAAAAAACTAGAATTGAAAAATTTTATATTAAAACAAATATCGGCAAACTCAAACTTTTCGAGAACAACACAATGGAATGCATTGTCCAAGCTTTCTTCTTTAACAAAAAGGAAATCAAAGACTGTTCTCTCAAACCGATGTGTAAAAACTATTAATAAGAAAACGTTTCATAAATTTACTAACTTTTCACGAACGGTCTTTTTAAAACTAGTAAAGTCTGGTCATATTAGCGGTATGAGGAAATCAAGTTGGTAAATTTTTTGTCTCACAGTTTAAAAATCTTACATATTTGTTTATGATATGTTTTAAAAACGTTTTAGATAATAAAATTGTACACTTATATAAATTTATGGGTATTCCCAAAAGATATATATTAGAATGTAAGTGTGAATAAATAGAAAGCTTACTAGAATTTCATGACTAATAGGTGTCAAAGATAAAAAATCATTATAGACAAATGCAATGTACCAAAAAATTAGGGTAGGAATGAATAATAAACAAATATTTGTTCGTAACGATATTTTTATAGGAGAAACGTGATCATAAAGATAGATAAGATATAACATCAGAAGGCTAAACAAAAAATAGTAAAATTGATCTAATTCCTTAGCCAAGCTCAGTGAGAAGACGAAAAAGGTCCAAAATAGCAAAAGAATCATGTTATTGTTTATGTACTAATATCTTTATATGACCTACAGTGAATTATTATAAGTAGCTTTGGTTGTCAGGCTTCCAACAGGGCATAAGTCGATAACATTTCCTGATAATTCTGACAATAAGACTTTATTTACATAAGTTCCTATTTCACTTTGATTACCTCTACCGAATACACCAAGTTCCTCCACTCCGGCAATCTCTGCACTAAATCGTACACATCGTGTACAATGAATGCATCTTGTCATTACTGTTCTAACAATTGGACCTAAGTTCTTATCAGAAACAACTCTTTTGAATTTGTAGAACCGTCTTTTTGTGAAACCAAAAAATAACGATTGATCTTGTAAATCGCACTCTCCTCCTTGATCACAAATTGGACAATCTAATGGGTGATTCAATAATAAAAACTCCATTACATTTTCTCTCGCTTTTTTTACTAGCCCACTGTTGTGGTAAATTTCGTGGTTGAATAAACTTGTTCCTGCGCTTACAGCACAAGATACTACGGGTTTGTTTAAATTACCCATTTCTACAATGCAAATCCTACAATTCCCTGCGATTGATAAATTATTATGATAGCAGTAATGTGGAACTGAAATACCTAAGTTAATTAGATAAGCAAGTAGAGATACTTTGTTTAAATTTGTTGAATTTGCTTTTGACATGTTCAAATAAATTTGATTGTAAAATGACTTAAAAGGGAAATGTAGCTTAATTGGTTAAAGCGCCGACCTGTCACGTCGGAGACTGTGGGTTCAAGTCCCATCTTTTTCGTTTTATATTTTTAAATTTTGATTCTGAATTTTAATTGGGTCTAACGCAATATCATCTCGTTGCTCATAAAATACAGCTAAAATAGATAGACCGATCGAAGATTCGGTCGCTGAAAGTACTAAGATAAATAATACGAATATATGACCAACTATATCATCCAGATATAAAGAAAAGGTTATGAAGCTTAAATTTACTGATAATAACAGAATTTCAAGCGACATAATTGTTTTCAGAATATTTCCTCGGTTTAGGATTAAACCAAGCATTCCGATGTGAAAAAGCACTATGGCAGTACTTAATAGATAAAAATTTAACTCAATTCCAGCCATGTTTGAGTATACTGGGGCTCGAACCCAGGACCTGTGGATTAAAAGTCCAATGCTCTACCGACTGAGCTATATACTCTGGTTTGATTAATTTCTTTTATACTGCGAAAAGTACTAAGAAAGCAATCATAAGTGCGAATAATGCAATAGCCTCGGTTAACGCAAAACCTAAAATAGCCATTCTAAACATTTCATCTTTCAGAGAAGGGTTTCTAGAAATACCGATTACTAGAGCACCGAATACGGTACCAATACCTACTCCAGCTCCTGCTAGTCCAATTGTTGCTAATCCAGCACCAACACATTTAGCTGCTTGTAATAACATAAGTCACTATAATATGACTTATGTTACTTCGAACGATCCAAAGCAGCTTTTTTACTTTCTAATTAAAGAATCCCATCAACATTTATCAAAATTTTTTAGTCAAATATTTTTGTTTTAATAGGTAATTTCTTACTACCGGCCTTTAGGGCTTCGATTCCAATATGAGTTGGAACACCACAAACTTCAAACAAAGTAGTTCCACCCCTAACTCGCGCTACCCAGTGTGAAACTGCCCCTTTTCCTTTACCCATTCGAGACTCTGTTGGTTTAGCAGTGACAGGTAAGTCTGGAAAGATACAAATCCAAATCTTACCCTTCCTCTTTATTTTTCTTGCGATAGTTCTTCGTGCAGCTTCAATTTGCCGAGCAGATATTAGACCAGCTACTTCAGCTTTTAGCCCTAATTCACCGAACCTTATTGAATTTGCTTTAAATTCTAATTTTTTTAGTTTTCCTTTTCTTGTTTTCTTATATTTTGTTTTTCGTGGTTGTAAAAACATTTTTAGTTGCTAAAAATTTGTTTTAAATTATCGTCCAACGATCCAAGCTTTTATACCATAACTACCGCTAGAATTATGTATAGTGGTTTGTGAATAATCTAATTCTTCATTGATACTTTGAACAGGAACATCGCCAACACTGATGATCTTATGTTTTGCCCGCGGTACCCCGTTTAATCGGCCCTTCACTATAATCTTAACTCCTTTTACTTTTGAGAAGTTTGAATCAATCAAAATTGATAAGGCTTGTTTTAAAAAAGAAAAGAAGAGTTTCTGTCGTTTAATTTTTTTCAGTTGCATTGCTATAAATCTAACTAATAAATTTGCAGAGTTTTTGTTATAAACTACATGAAATAATAGTTCGATTCCCTCCTTTAAAAACGGAGTGTTACGAAACTTTTGAAGCAACGGGAACTTCTTAGTTTGCGAAAACTTTAAAAAAGTTAAATCTTTATTAACACAACAAAAGTTTATAACAATATTTAATTTATTATTGGTAAATAAGTTTAATACTTTAAATAATTGGTCAAAAACACTTTTTATTTTTAATTTGTCAGACATCTCAAGTGATTGTTTGACGACCACAGAGTGTGAATTATTTCGTACTAATTTTTGTAAATCGTTATAACGATCTAGTTTTAAGTACTTCTTAATTTTATAAAAGTGTGTAGGACTAACTCGTTCACCTGATGGCTCGACGAACGTGTTCAGATGATTATTTACGCTTTGCACACGTTTTTTGTCACCTGACTTGTTTACAAATACCAGCTTTTGCGTGTCATTTTTCTTTAAATTAAAATCAGAAGTTATGAAATATGAAACATAAAGGTTTAATGTTGAATTACTATAATGTTGTTTATGATCATGTAATATGAAACCATGTTTTTCTAAAAACCGTTCGATATAACTTTTTATCTCTAAATCTTTGAACGTGTATAGAGGTAGTTCTTGATTTTTTTTTTCAAAAAATTTTGTTTTCCATGTTTTGTTAACACCTAATCTAAGAATATTTGGATTTACTTTTTGACCCATTTATTTTTCTAACTTTTTATTTCTTTTTCTTTTTCTTCTTAAATTCGAATTTTGCTCGAGTTGGGACAAACTCACCTATTTTATGACCGATCATATCATCAGTCAACGTTAAAGCAACGAGTTTTTTGCCAGAATGCACATTACACGTCAAACCAATGACATACGATGTAATTTCATAATCTCGCGCTAATAGTGGTAGCTTAGCAGTAACATCTATTTTTTTTGTAAAAGGTCCTTTCCATTTAGATCTTTTCATTTATTTCTTTTTTATAATTAATTTGTTAGTAGATTTGCTAGTTTTTCCCCGTTGGTTTGGTTTACCCCAAGGTGTTCGAGATGTACCTGACTTTTTACCTTCACCACCACCGTGTGGGTGATCTATAGGATTCATGGCTACACCTCTAACGGTAGGACGTTTATTTAACCATCTGGATCTCCCGGCTTTACCCGAACGAGTTAAAAAATGTAACTCTTTTGAAACTTCTCCTATTGAGGCAAAACATTTTGAAGAAACATATCTTTGTTCACCAGAACTCAATTCAATTACAGCATATTTTTCAGTCTTTTCTTTAATCATTGAAAATGTACCTGCTGAACGAGAAATTTGAGACTTTTTATTCGGTACTGGTGACACGTTATGAATAGCAGTTCCAATAGGAATTTTAGCAATTGGTAATGAGCTTCCTAGACTCGGCTCTACTTCTAGACCCGATTTTACTATATCGCCAACTTTTAAATTTTTAGGGGCTAATATATAAAAGAAATCATTATTGATAAAATCGAAGACTGCAGCAATGTAAGCATTCCTATAAGGATCATGCTCTAAACTGCACACAATAGCGGTTGAATTGGTAATCCTGTTAAAATTAACTTTTCTATACCGTTTTTTTACACCTCCTCCGCGGTGGAAAGCTGTAATTCGGCCAGAATTATTTCGACCACTAGAATTTTTTAAGCCTTTGACTTTATTCTTTAGCATTGGTTTTTTACTTAAATTTAAAGATTTTTGATTTAATTTGATTAACTGTCTCCGTCCAGGAGTTATAGGTTTTACTTTTTGCAATGAAATCATTTTTTGCTTATAAAATAAATACGTTTTTATATAATATATTATTTATGAACTTATCTAATACTTTATTCCACAATTTAACAAATAAACTTCAATTAGACACTCATTTATTTGAAAAAGAAAAAGTCTACGTAGAAAACCTACAAAATCGAATTGACTATCTAAAAAAATTAAAAGAACAAGATTATAAGAATTTAAGTATAACTGAATTTGCTAAATCTAAGCAAGTACAAACTATCAATCAAGACCTTATGGTTATGTACATAATAAATATTTCTTTTCTGAAAGCCAATACAACAATTCATGTCTCTGATATAAAAGGAAATATAAAACTATTCTATTCAGCCGGATCAGTAGGGTTAACTGGTAAACAGAAAAGAAAAAGACGAATTGCAGTTGTAAAACTAATTTCTTTACTGATAAAAAGAGCAAGTTTTTTAGGTAACAAACCTGTGGCAATACATTTAAATAATGTAAACTTTTATCAAAGCTTGATTATTAACAAGTTAAAACAAGCGCTTTTCATTAAGGTAATAAAAAGTTTTAACCAAGCACCGTATAACGGTTGTCGTAAGCCAAAAGTACGTCGAAAAAAATATACTAAAAAATTTAAATAACAGAAAGAATTATTTTCAATAAACTTATGGAGAAATGGCTGAGTGGTTTAAAGCGGTAGACTGTAAATCTATTGAGGTTTCTCATCGTAGGTTCGAATCCTACTTTCTCCTAATTCTGGTTATACTTTATTCTTTAATTCGAAATATGGCGTAGTTGGTAGCGCGCCTGTTTTGGGAACAGGAGGTCATGTGTTCAAATCACATTATTTCGAAATTATTTTTTATTAGTTAATCTATAACTAGTTTTCAAATGCTGATCTAATGATCTGTGCAAATTAAACATATTTTTTTTATACGACAAACTCTTAACACCTTTTAACTGTGCAGATGAATAAATTTTATTGTTCAACTTCAAAGAAATTAAAGAGAAAGATGGTTTAAGATCTTTTGTTAAACGTTCCAAATCGAATTCTGTTGTTTTAAATTTCGAATCAATAAGGATGACAAAATTGGTAATAATTGGACTAGAGTTTTTGTAAATTGACTTTTCAAATGTTTTTAATGTTGTCCCATTTAAAGTCTTGTAGTAATTTAATTTTAATTTTTTTAATTCTTGTTCTACAGTAATCCATTGGTTTAAGCTTAATTTAGCTGAATGGAACAAAAA